ATGGTTACGCAGCATATATCTGAAAGACTTTATATCTTTATAACCTTTGGGCCCCACATCCAATCACTGGCTAAATCCTACCGCCTCAACCTCTGGAACATTTCCAAAATCCGCCCCTTTCTGACCAATGACACCACAAAACAACTTATCAACACCTTGGTCATATCCTGCCTTGATTACTACAACTCCCTCCTCACTGGCTTACTGTTACACAGGCTATCCCCCCTTAAGTCTATTATGAATGCTGCTGCTAGACTCATACACTTTAGCAACCGATCAATGACTGCTGCCCCTCTCTGCCAATCCCTTCACTGGCTTCCACTAAACCAACGTATAAAATTCAAAATACTAACCACAGCTTACAAAGCCATCCACAACACTGCCCTTAGCTACATCACCGACCTCATCCGCAGATACCACCCACTCCGCTCCTCCCAAGATATCTTCCTCTCCAGCTCTCTCATCACCTCCTCCCACACTGGCCTCCAGGACTTCTCCAGAGCCTCTCCCATCCTCTGGAACTCCCTACCACAGTATGTCCGGTCAGTCCCCCCCCCCCCCCCCCCCCCCCCGTCTGCCTTTAGGCGATCTTTGAAAACTCACTTCTTCAGGGAAGCCTGCCCCACCTCTACCTAAGAACTGTAATTGAATCACCTCCACCAGATCATCCCCCGCAGCTATCACCTTTTGTATCACCTCCCCCTTCCTTTAGATTGTAAGCTCCATGAGCAGGGGCCCTCCTATTCCTTCTGTACTGAAATGTATTGTAATGGTACTGTCTCCCTTATATTGTAAAGTGCTGCGCAAACTGTTGTCACTATATAAATCCTGTATAATAATCAATGGGTAATTCCTTTAGATTGTAAGCTCCATGAGCAGGGCCCTCCTATTCCTTCTGTACTGAAATGTATTGTAATGGTACTGTCTCCCTTATATTGTAAAGCGCTGCGCAAACTGTTGGCGCTATATAAACCCTGTATAATAATAATCAATGGGTAATTCCTTAGATTGTAAAATGACTTACAATAGTAAACTATAGGCAAAACCTTTTTTTTTTCATTTTGGAAAGAGCAAGGGAGGGTTATAACCCCTGTCAGTTTTTAGGCAAAACCTTTTTTTTTTTTTCCCCATCTGTGTCCCATCTGTGTCCCATTGTGGAGATTTTCCTTCACTTCCTTTCCCATAGCCAAACAGGAAAATGAGAGGAAATCACTGCAAATTAAAGGAATTATTTGGGGACCACCAGGTCACCACAACCAGTGTCCCCATTGGAAGATTTCTCCTTTATTACTTTTCTGGGGACAACACAAAATGTGTGCTTTTCTTTTACTTTCACTTTCAATGATAATGATAAACAGGACAAATAGAGAAGCTGAATCTTCTTAACACGGGCACAGGCAGAAATAAAAAACTGGCAGGGGTTCTAATCCCTCTCCACTCTTTTCAAAACAAACAAAAAAAGTTTTGCATTAATTATACTTTAATGTGACTTATGGCAGGAAACAACATTATTGTGTTGTATGAAAAGTATGGAGGTGAAGTGTTACTAACCCCACAACAGTAAAATCAGTCTGTATATGCAGTAAAGCATGCTTGTTATACTCGCTGTGGAACCTAAGAGATTAATCCTCTGCATTGTGTAAAAAGGATGTTTGATCCTGTCTTCTCTGATCCTCCCCTTCTTCCACTGTCCCCAATCCATCTGCTGATAGAACAGAGCCTTGGGAGCAAGCTGCGTATTCTCAGTTTGGTGTGTATTGGTAGAGAGTTTCTTTCTTTCTTGGGAGCATGCTTTACTACATCTACACTGATTTTGCTGTTCTGGGTTTGGTAACACTTTAAACCCCCAAAACAGTATATATTTTCTGAAAGCAAAGACCCTGGAGAATTAAATAGTAGCAGCTATTTATCAAATACAAATTTTCAGTAAAAAACAAACTAAAGTTAATTTTAGTCCCCACAGGCACAATATATTGTCCACTTATTTGGTAAAATAGAGGAGGTTGCAATGAGTGAATAGATATCCAACATATCAAGCCTTAAATTGCACATTCCTGTGAATGGTGACAAATTTTGGTACCCAAAATTGCCCATAGGCATCACTTTAAAAGTATTTAAGGGTTGTCAGTTTAGAGCTAAACATGAATGATGACTCTAGAATGATTGTTCTTCATTCACGGTGATATGTAACATGCCAAGTGCAATCATTGTTTTTCATACATAGGTGCACCCTTTGCATATGTTTATGTTCTTATGTTCATGTACATAGGAGTGGGGGACTTTAAAAATGCTGTTTTTCTACTTATAATATGTTACTTTGCTTTCCTTTTTTACTTTTTATTTCTGGCTTTACAATTAAGTTTATTGCTATTGTATGGGAGGGGGGCAATAGCCCCCTTTGTGATAGCATACTATCATACATCAGCTTCTCTTTACTGAGATGTCAGAGTCGCCTAGACTCCTGGTGTGTCCCTTGCCCTTCACTGAAGCCGGGAAAGTGACAGCCAAACCCAGAAGTGACCTAATACATATCGCTTCTGTTTAATTTACCAGAGGGCAGATCAGCAGAGTGTAATTCCAATTGCAGGCTGAATGAGAGAAATCTAATAACAAAGGAGTCGTTGCTGCCTGCCTGCATTACCCTCGACAGCTTGTATACTTAAACAGGGCTGCATCTCATAGGATACAGTCAATGTTCAGTTGACAGTTTTCCTACTGGAACCTTAGATTTTCCAATCAAAATTTGTGGTGTCAACTTTACAGTTACCAAGATAGTGTAGACACTGCAGCTAATTTAAAGTACACTATATTGCCAAAAGTATTGGGACGCCCATCCAAATCATTGTATTCCGGTGTTCCGATCGACTCCATAGCCACAGGTGTATAAAATCAAGCACCTAGGCATGCAGACTGCTTCTACAAACATTTGTGAAAGAATGGGTCGCCCAGTAAATTCAAGCATCGTAAAATGATAGATTGCCATTTGTGCAACAAGTCCATCCGTGAAATTTTCCTGCTACTAAATATTCCACGGTCAACTGTTAGTGGTATTATAACAAAGTGGAAGCAACTGGGAACAACAACAACTCAGCTACGAAGTGGTAGGCCATGTAAAATGACAGAGTGGGGTCAGCGCAAGCTGAAGGGCACAGTGCGCAGAATTCCCCAACTGTCTGCAGAGTCAATAGCTAAAGACCTCCAAACTTCATGTGGCCTTCAGATTAGCACAATAACAGTGCGTAGAGAGCTTCATGGAATTGGTTTCCATGGTCGAGCAGCTGCATACAAGCCTTACATTACCAAGTGCAACACAAAGCATCGGATGCAGTGGTTTAAAGCACGCCGTCACTGAAGTGATGAATATTACTTCTCTGTCTGGCAATTCAATGGACGTGTCTGGGTTTGGCAGTTGCAAGGAGAACAGTACTTGCCTGACTGCATTGTGCCAAATGTAAAGTTTGGTGGAGGGGGGATTATGGTGTGGGTTATTTTTCAGGGGTTGGGCTTTGCCCCATATTTCCAGTGAAGGGAACTCTTAAAGTGTCAGCATACCAAGACATTTTAGACAATTTCATGCTCTCAACTTTCTGCGAACAGTTTGGGGATGGGCCCTTCCTGTTCCACCATGACTGCGCACCAGTGCACAAAGCAAGGTCCATAATGACATGGATGAGGAAGTTTGGGGTGGAGGAACTTGACTGGCCTGCACAGAGTCCTGACCTCAACCCAATAGAACACCTTTTAGGATGAATTAGAGCAGAGACTGTGAGCCAGGCGCTTCTCGTCAGACTCTCCTGACCTCACAAATGCTCTTCTGGAAGAATGGTCAAACATTCCCATAGACACACTCCTAAACCTTGTGGACAGCCTTCCCAGAAGAGTTGAAGCTGTTATAGCTGCAAAGGGTGGGCCAACTCAATATTGAACTCTACGGACTAAGACTGGGATGCCATTAAAGTTCATGTGCATGTAAAGGCAGGTGTCCCAATACTTTTGGCAATATAGTGTATATCTAAAGCCAAAAGTTTTTTTTTTTTTTTTTTTTATAGAGTGGGAAGGGATTAAAATACCTGTCAGGTTTTAATTGCTGTGCCCCCATTAGTGATAATTAAATTTGTCATGTTTAGCATTATTACTGAAAATTAAAGTAAAAGAAAATCTCAAATTTTGTGTTATCCCCAGAAACTATTGAGTACTGTCCGTGATACTTTTTTTATTTGCACTAACATACAATTTTGAGAACAAGCTTTCGAGGTATGTCCCCTTCTTCAAAGTCCAAACAGTACCCAATATAACAGTGTTATCCCCAAAATAGTATAAAAGGGGAAATCAAATCTTCCAATGGGGACACTAGTTCCGGGGACCCTGGTGACAACCAGAGATTTCCTTGCTATGGAGGGATTTCCTCTCACTTCCTGTTTTGGCTGTGTGACAGAATGTGAAGGGAAATCTCCCCAAAGGGACACAATGGCAAAAGAAAAACCGGACAGGGGTTATACTCCTCCATTACGTTTTCCAAAACAAAATCAAAGTTTTACTTTAATAAAGGAGTTGAGAATCCTCACACAGTGAATTGCGTGGATATTTACTTTAATATATATAAAGTAAATTCCTGTTTACTTATCTCTTCTACACATGATTGGAGTGAATATTCACACAATTTATCTGCAATTTAAAACTTCCTTAGGAAATTAGTCCATCAGTCTTTGGTGTACAACTGTTGTTACAATCTGAATCTGTGAAATTTGTGCAATTGGATTTACTAACAACTATTTAATGGATGATGAATTTATATTGTCCGACGCCCAGGACATGTAGTTTCAGGCACCGGGCAGGTAGTGTTTTTTATCCTTCAGCCCCGCTGCAGGCAAGCAGCAGGGCTCACCTGTCAGGTGGAAGCATTTGGGGGGCAGACTCACACAGATGATGTTACAAATCTGGATACTTTGTATATTTTTTCATTATTGAATGTTTTTCTGATGTGTTCTCCCTTTTGCCAGGTTTGTGGCTTTACCTCTGAGCAAAAAAATGGGCTTACGGGAAAGGTACAAACGGAAAACCTTCAATTAAACCAATTCTGGAAGACTTTTACTCAAAGAATGGAAATCATCCAACTGAGGTAGGTTACACTGTGATTATAAACAGCTTTTAAATTAAAATTTCATTTAATTTTGTCGCACCCCTAAAAACAACTAAATTAGATTGTTGGCAATGAGCATTGCTACCACTTATGTGCAATTCAATGAAATACATTCTGGAGTTTGCAGGGAAAAAAATAGGTTAAATAGGTTAATCCTTTAAAAAATCTGATATAACGTGCATAACCACCTGTGTATTATGAAAGCTATATTGAAAAATTATATTCCAAATTTATATTTTATGTAATAGGAGAGTACATACAGCTCTCATACTGTACATAGCAGATAAAAAGGGGGTATTCCTACAGCACAACAAATGAGCTCTAAAAGCAAAGTTACAGTAGCTTAACTTAATTAGACAATTCCTCCACAAGTCCAATAACAAAATGAGTAAATAGAACTCAATCTGCTCTCACAGACATGCCTAAAAGCCAATAATCACCCCAAAAGCAAAATAAATAAATACATTCACTTCTACTGTAATAATATATGCAGATAGTTGTTAAAACACAGAAACCATTGCAATAGTTATGAAAATATCCAGTAGTGCTGCACAGGAATAAATGTAATAAACACACTCTGCTCTTATACCAAGCTTAAAAAAATGTGTTGGTGGATATTTTTAAAAAGTGCTACATGTAAATAAATAGGTATAACAGTAGCAATGCTTGATTTAAAGTGGAATTCCAGCCAAAACAATTTATGGATGATGAGGAGATACACTATATTGCCAAAATTATTGGGACACCCCTCCAAATCATTGGATTCAAGTGTTCCAATCACCTCCATGGCCACAGGTGTATAAAGTCAAGCACCTAGGCATGCAGACTGCTTCTACAAACATTTGTGAAAGAATGGTCGCTCTTTCAGGAGCTCAGTGAATTCAAGCATGGTACCATGATAGACTGCCATCTATGCAATAAGTCCATCCATGAAATTTCCTTGCTACTAAATATTCCATGATCAACTGTTAGTGCTATTATAGCAACCGAAAAACAGCAACTCAGACACGAAGTGTTAGGCCATCGTAAAATGACAGAGCGGGGTGAGTGCATGCTGAAGCATGCAGTACGCAGAAGTCGCCAACTGAAGAGTCAATAGCTAAAGACCTCCAAACTTCCTGTGGCCTTCAGATTATCACAACAGTGCGTAGAGAGCGTCATGGAATGGGTTTCCATGACCAAGCAGCTGCATTTAAGCCTTACATCACCAAGTGCAATGCAAAGCGCCTGATGCAGTGGTGTAAAGCACGTCATCACTGGACTCTAGAGCACTGGAGACATGTTCTCTGGAGTGACGAGAATCACTCCTCTCTGTCTGGCCAATCCGATGGATGTGTCTGGGTTTAGCGGTTCCCAATAGAACGGTACTTGCCTGACTGCATTGTGCCAAGTGTAAAGTTTTTGGTGGGGGGGATTATGGTGTGGGGTTGTTTTTCAGGGGTTGGGCTTGGCCTCTTAGTTTCAGTGAAGGGAACTCTTAAGGCTTCAGCATACCAAGACATTTTGGACAATTTCATGCTCTCAACTTTGTGGGAACAGTTTGGGGATGGCCCCTTCCTGTTCCAACATGACTGTGCACCAGTGCACAAAGCAAGGTCCATAAAGACATGGAAGAGCACATTTTGGGTGGAGGAACTTGACTGGCCTGCACAGAATCCTGACCTCAACCCGATAGAACACAGTTGGGATGAATTAGAGCAGAGACTGCGAGCCAGACCTTCTCATCTGACATCAGTGCCTGACCTCACAAATGCGCTTCCGGAAGAATGGTCAAACATTCCCGTAAGACACACTCTTAAACCTTGTGGACAGCCTTCCCAGAAGGGTTCAAGCTGTTATAGCTGTAAAGGGTGGGCCAACTCAATATTGAACCCCCTAGACTAAGACTGGGATGCCATTAAAGATCATGTACGTGTAAAGGCAGGCATCCCAGTACTTTTGGCAATATAGTGTATATTAGAACCTCTGTCAAATGTTTATTGCTGGCATTGTCCCAAATGGCATTTCCAAAAAGGGGGTAAAGCTGCCCATACATATTTCCCTTTTGAACAGGCTTAATTTTGATCTATGTGTGGGCACTGAATTGAAATTCAGCTGAAGCAATAGCAGTCACTGTGTCTATCATGAAGAATGTCGACATGGTAGGCAGTACTGTGTAGCTCAGGTTCAGGTCAACCATGTATTCAAGGAGTACTAAGTGTGTTCAAGGTCTGGAGTCCCTGCAAACGAATGCAGTGATTTGGCCAGCTTAATTTTTTTACCGTAATGCACTGCAAGGGCCTTGGAACTTAGGTCATCCAGCTTAAAAGGGCCAATAATGGGGCTTTGTTATATTACATCGTCCTCAATATAAAAAGGGGCACAGAGCAGCCATAGTGTCATTGTATTGGAACTGCTGTAGGGAAAGGCTATGGAAAGCTGACCAACTACACAGGGAAAGATTAGAGTAGTCAGGCAATCAACCCCTTTGCTACTTTTATTTTGTTCTTGTTATTGGGCTTCTTGTCTTTAATTTTTTTGATAATTTAAGGCCAGCAGTCACTTTTAGCTCCTGTCCTGACCCTAGTCTTTTTTCTGCAAGACATTCCTTTATAAAAATGAGGAAATATCCTTATAAAAAAAAAGTGTTTTTGTTTTGTGGGTGGCATATTGGGGTTTTATTTCTTGAGTTTAATTCTATAGGTTGATAGGCCATTTTATTAAGATTGGGGTGATCAAAGTGCAGCATCATTTTGTTTCCAATCTGTACTGGTACCAGCTTTTTGTTTGCAGCACACTGCTATATCTTTTGAAAGAAAAAACCCCCCACAAAACTAAGGACATACTCACTGTGCACCAAAGTCACCTGACCATATCAGGTCACATGCCCTTAACATTAACAGGGTACCTTGCTAGAAAGCCCCTCTGGCAAGGTACCATGTTCATGGGGACAAAGGCTTCATCCCCCTATTCCTGACCCGCTGGATATGGGAGACTTTAGGGTGGAGAACTAATTGAAATGTGAAAGCCCCCAGATATTTATCTCCTCTTCCCACATAAATGAGTAATGGATACTTAGTACCCCTTGTTTCGCATTCACAAAAAATTTACAATGTAAATATACACACAGACACTGTTGAGAAAGTATTTTATTAAAAGAATCCCACAATGTAAATCCTTTGTTAATAATGTCATCCTAGATCCATCATCAATCACGATAAAAAGTGCCCTGCCAACCCACTTATACAAACACAGCTACCTGTGCCAATGATCCTCTCCTACTGGACTCCTGGCAAAAATAACAACAACCTGGTTGGCTGCCACATGTCAGCAAATTGGCCTGTGATGCTGGCTGACGTCATTGGCCAAATATGGTCATGACTATATGTGGCCAATGACGGTACTCGAGTTCCCCTAGTCACTTTCTATACAGACAGAAGCAGGCAATGAAGGGACTGTCATTTAGCAGTAATACTTTTTTTCTTCCTACGTATTATTTTTGCCACAATACATCCTACAGGTGTACCACTTCACATGCAGATTTAAGGCTTCCCCCAAACATGTTATTGTCAATCTGTAAATTAAAGTAGAACTATACGCAAAACTTTTTTTTTTTCATTTTGGATAGAATAAGGATTATAACCCGTCAGTTTATTTTTTGACATATATGTCCTATTGGGAGGATTTATCTTCATCTCCTGTCCAATAGCCAAAACAGGAAGTGATCAAATCTCTTCAAATTACGAGAATTCCTTGGAGACCCCCAGGTCCCCTGAGCTAGCGCCCCATTGGAAAGTTTCCCCTCTATTACTTTTCTAAGGAAAACCTAAAATTTGGGGTTTCTTTTACTTTTGATGATAATGGTATACAGGATACATAGAGAGGGTGAAGATTCCTAATGGGGGCACAGACAGCAGTAAAAACAAATGTGTTCTAATCCATCCCCACTCTGTCCAAAACTTAAAGAATAATATTGGATTTAGTTGAACTTTAAGCATTTATGGGGTACTGTATGAAATGCTTTAGGGCAGGCATCTTTTGTATTAATTGTATGTATTATATTCCCAACACTCAGAAAATTTTCTGTATATTGTGAGAACTAGTATCAAACAGTAGGGCTTTAGGGTGCAGCCACTCACTTTTCTTCTTTTAAAGGGCTTCTCTTGCCTGATTTTATTAAAAGAAAGTTCAACAAAATCAATGATTTTCCCATACATGGTTTTTTTTTTAGCATTTTTCTCTTGCAAAAGAAATATGCATTCAGCCTCCTGGCTTACACATACAGCACTTCTGGTCTGGGCCTACACTTTAGGCTCTTGTCTATATCAGACAGTCTTCACACACAAGCTTTGTCCATGAAGCTAGCAGCCCCTTGTGGCTCTGGCTCCCAACCATCTCTTCTAGGTGGAGCCCTCCCGACTCCTGGACAGAGACCTCCTCTGTCTGCCAGGTTGGAGCCCAGAACCATAGTCAGATCTCTACTAAAAGACCAGCATGAACCTAGCAAGTTAGTATGCAGTGGTGATTCCCTATACCAGCACCCTGGATTGGAGATTTTATCCTATCCAAGTCTCTACGAAATCGGCAGGCTCCAGATCCCAAACAGGATTTTTTAACCACTGTGGAACCTAAAAAAAGCAGTTTCCTCTGAAGGACAGAAGCACTCTGGAGCCCTTCACCCTGCCTAGATGGGAATCCTTGGTGATAGAAAACCCTTTTCACATCATGACTGGGCATAGCACTGTCACAATATGCATATTTGTGTTCTGCTCTAGAATATACTGTATTTGCAGCACAAGCCAGTTTGGATAATTGTTGTTTTCTCTTTTTCCAATAATTCTTTTGCATTGGGTTTCATTAAAATGTATGTCTTTCATAAAAACATTCATTGTCTCTTTCTAGCATGTTAGTGTTATCTCTGTTCCAGCTTGAAGTTCTCAGTTTGTCAGCTAAATGTAACATGCAGATTCGGCAAGTTGAACATTGGTTCCGATATAGGAGAAACCAAGACAGATCAAGTACAACCAAAAAATTTTGTGAAGCCAGGTGCGTGGACAGCATCAAAAATTCCTTATCCTGCCACTTAGTCTTCAGAATTCTTTATTAAAGTGATATTAAAGGTGATTTTTAAAAAAAATAACAAACATGTTATACTTACCTGCTCTGTGCTGTGGTTTTGCACAGAGCACCACCAATCCTCCTCTTCTCGGGTACCCTCCCCCCCAGCTCTCCTGGCCCCTCCCTGCTGGCGAGTGCCCTAAAGCTATAGGGACACCCAAGTATTCTCGCTTCTGAACCACTGCTGTGTGTACAGTCACACACAGAGCCAAGGATTGCTGCATGGAGCTGCATGGTCGAGGTGCCAGAAAGAAGCCTTTACTGCATCAATGACACAAAAAGGCCTGCTTAGGCATGTCAAGGTGTTGTCAGGCATATTGTAAGAGCTAATAAATTCATTGACTATTTATACACTGACACTAATTGCAATTTAAAAAGCCACAGATGTGGGACATTAACCTCTAATTGGCATTTTAACCCGTGTGTGTCACCTTGTGTGTCTGTACCAAGGCCAAACATTCCAGGGATGTAAACTTTTGATCATGGCCATTTGGGTGATTTCTGTTATCAATATGATTTAAAAAGGAGCCAAACAACTATTTGATAATAAATGGCTTCATATGATCATCATCCTTCAATAAAAGAGAATTTTTTTGCATGATCAGTAATATTTTCAATATCAATGCCAAAATTTCACAAATTCTGCCAGGGTGTGCAAATTTTGAGCACAACTGTATTGATTATCCTTATACTGTGATTATAGTGATTTTACAGGCGTGGCTTTGCAGCTTCCATCATAAAAGTTCAATAGGGTTATTATTTATTTAAAGATAGCCTCGCAGGGGGATCTTACTTTATAGTATTAACTTGTACTGGTATCTGGAAAAAGTAAGCCAGTTATCACTTTTTTTTTTTTGTTTTCCAGCTGGAGATTTACAATCTACTTAATTTCATTCCTTATTGGTGTTGCTGTAATTATCGACGTGAGTATACTCTGTGTCTCAATCTGGCTGTTGACTGACAAGGAAAAGTAAAATTGAAAAAGAAAGTACTAAAAAGAATTATTTATTGCTTAGTTATAAGTCCCAAAGGATGGCCGTAAACAGTCTGGCCCCACCCAAATCCATAGGGCTCAGTACTTTACTGGTAGGGGGTACCTGTAGGAGGCAATTATATGCACTTCTAATATTAACAGTGTACAATATCACTCATGTCCAGCTTGTTAGAAAATCTCTGCATGACTCAGCTAATCCTTCCTCTTCTCAATAAGAAGAGGGAATGGAGATGTTAACTGTTCATGTGCTGCTTCAGTGGAACTGGTCTCATGATTAACCCAGGAAAACAACAGGCAGTTGTTTACCAGGGTCACGTCTACTTTTTTTTTTGATAGCCATTTTGTAGAATGCTAATCAGCTCAGTACTTTTCTTGGCTTGCACAAATGGATTTGTCTGCGGTAATTCATTTTTTTTAGTAAGTCCCATTATTTTGAAACTTCTGTAAAACTGCAAATTGAAAATTAAACATGTGGAACACTGCCACAGGCTACTGAAGACATTACATATTTCTTGCAATAAATCTTATACTGGATGTGAAAAATATTGAATGACAAATTAAAGAGGAACTGCTGCTTAAAATATGTGTTCAGTCAGTTACGTTGGCCATTGTCTAGTGATAAAATGCATTATTTTCCTGTGCAGCTGGCTCATAGTTTTGTCATTTTTTTGTGCAATATAATTTCTTTACCTCCAAATGCAACTCTATCTTTGCTGAGGAAGCAGTTATTTCTCGAACCACTTACTAGTAAAATTGTACAGGACAATTTTTTCTTTTAAATAAAGGTAATGTGATAAACCACCATGCATCTAAACCACTATGACCTAAAACGTAGCTTTATTAAGCTACATTAAAATCTTATTAAAAGAAGAATAAGAAAAAAAAAGAAAATTATATTAATGTGGCTAATTACCAAGCAGGGGAACTCTGTTCTCATGATAATGCAAACTTTTCTCCATATTTGATACAAAAATCAATTACACTTTCCCTGAACTAAATTTCAGGGATATTTAAAAGTATCATATCTCAAAAGTCCCCAGAACAGAAAAAGTTCCCCTGATAGATGACACATAAATGGTCAAAAATTCCCCACACTGACCCTCTACCTAAGATATTTCACTTTTAAATAAAGCTTCATCAATAAAATAACAAACATGAGTAATGCCACCTGGCAAATGGTGACCATCCCGGCATTTGCCCCTATTTATAATGGTTACAATCGCTGCTTTGTGATGTCACTACATCACTCTCACGCCTGTGTGTGTCATGACATCACATGATCACGTCATCTTGCATGACGCATGCAGTGACGTCATCACGGAGCAACAGTAGGACAGAGAAGCAGAGGTTATGTGCATTATGTTGCAAGAGGCAGAGGTTCTTCATGCACAGGGGCGAGCAGGTTTTGCATCCACAGGGCAAAGCCGTGGTCAGGCCACTCCTGTGAGAGAGAGGACAAATCTGTTTCTTTCTAACAGCGGGTATGCTTTACAGCTAGCACACATGAAGGCTAACAAAGCATTCCTTTTCCTCCCACACAGAGCAATGCTTTTTTTCCCAGCACTTACAACTGTGCACTATTTCTCATCCTCTACACCTAATCCAGCAATTGCCCTGCAAACTGACATGAAGGAGTCTGTTGAATTACTTTAACACAGCATGAATTACTTAATTCAGGAGGTTGCTCAAGAGTTATTGTTATTGGATTTTGAAAAAGAGAGTGCCAGGGGCATGGAAGGAGGGAATATAAGACATGGAGCAGCAATTGCCATTGATTTACCTGTAGCTGCAGCTTACTGCCAAATGGTCTCAAGCAATTAACAGAGTGGTGATGAAAAGGTTGCAGACTTTACCTGACTGCCAGAGATTGTAGAGGAGGAAAGTTTTGTCCAGGGGCAGCTTCCTATGCCACTGGATGGCAATGCAGCAGTGGCTTACCTGTGGGCCAGGGCAGATGTGGACAACCTTTGAGCCAGCTGGACCACTGTCCAGAGTTAGAATAGTATTCTATGGAGCTGTTGGCTTACCTTTTGGGTAATGTGCTGTCAGAGAGGGAATTTAATGCAGCGGGCAGATTTGTGACAGGAAGATGAATCCACCTGCCCCAACACAGTTGACTAGTTCACTTTTATGTAAATTATTGCAAAGTACCTACAGCTGATGCTAGTGGCTAGACTTTTGCTTGGAGTCCAGCCACCCAAAAACTATTATACCCTTACACCATTACTATCTACTGCTATGCTGGCTTTCTATCATTGTCAGCTCCTGCCACCATTACCAGCTCCTTCCACCCCTTCTGGCCTGCCACCTTTACCAACTCCTACTGCCACTGCTGTTCTGTCACAGTTACCATCTCCTGCCACCATTACCAACTCCTACTGCTACTGCTGTTGTGTCACAATTACCATCTCCTGCCACCATTACCAACTCCTACTGCCACTGCTGTTGTGTCACAAATACCATCTCCTGCCACCATTAACATCTCCTACTGCCACTGCTGTTGTGTCACAGTTACCATCTCCTGCCACCATTACCAACTCCTACTGCCACTGCTGTTGTGTCACAGTTACCATCTCCTGCCACCATTACCAACTCATACTGCCACTGCTGTTGTGTCACAGTTACCATCTCCTGCCACCTTTACCAACTCCTACTGCTACTGCTGTTGTGTCACAATTACCATCTCCTGCCACCATTACCAACTCCTACTGCCACTGCTGTTGTGCTACAATTACCATCTCCTGCCACCATTACCAACTCCTACTGCCACTGCTGTTGTGTCACAATTACCATCTCCTGCCACCATTACCAACTCCTACTGCCACTGCTGTTGTGCTACAATTACCATCTCCTGCCACCATTACCAACTCCTACTGCCACTGCTGTTGTGTCACAATTACCATCTCCTGCCACATTTCCAACTGCTACTACTGCTGCTGGTCTGATACCAATATCATCTGCCACCATTTCTAGCTCCTTCCACTGTTGCTGGACTGTCACCATTACCATCTCCTGTCGCCTTCTGAAACAAATACACTTTAATGTTGTTTTTTGGATTGAAAGCTGACTGTTGTCCCTACTACAAGTGCTTAAATTCTGTGCATGGACTCACTACAATATTTTGGTGTTCTTTTTTTTGTGAAATAAATATTCTCTGTTGATTTGTTTTTTAATGAACCTTGTTCTTCAATACTGTGTATAGAGTCTGTACAATGATAATTTGGCATTTTTTTGTGATATAAATACACTCTAATATTGAGTTTTGTATAAAAACTGAATATTGTCCCTGCTCTTCAAAATACAGCCTACCAAAGTGCTTAAATGCTATGTATGGAGTCTATGTATGAAATCTTAATCCTGTGTCATTTTCAAAATGCAGCCAACATTCATGGTGAAATCGACTTCATATATCTCTGGCTTGTTCACCCTAGTGGTTGGGGCCGGTAAAAATGAGCGGTTTAGCCGCACATTTAAAGGCCCTCAACCACTACCTCCTTTAGCTGCAGAGGCAGCGGTGGGAGGTGTATACATGTTGCAGACTGGGTAAAAGTCTGACTGTGAGAAGGTGATTCATCGCCTGTCAAATGCTACCTGAAGAGCAATCTGAATGCTGATTGCTCTTCAGAGACCAAAGCTAGTGTGAAAAAACCCTTCCACTGCATTGCAATCAAGCTGCTCACATGCTCTCTTCACACTGTACAAATGTGTGGTTATTATCTCTGAAAGGAATAGTGTTTTTCACAGGTCGCCCTCAAAGTTGCATAAAAAGAAGGATCTTCTCCCCATTGAACATGATTTTTTAAAACGTGTTATGCATTTGTACATGTCTCCATGGCAGTGTTATGCTCCTCTTGCACTTTACTTGACAATTCCTTGCCTATTGGTCCTAAAAATGGCCAGAATAGATTTTCAGGTTTTGCCTTTTATCCCCCTCATAGACTTTAGTGCGGTTAGTATTAAAGTTCACAGTTTGTGAACTGAACTCAGGCAGATTTGCTCATTGCTTATTACTAATAGTTGTTTTTAGTTAGCATCATATCACTTTTTCAAGTGATTAGAGATTGCACTGTGTATAGCCCTCTCCATAAAGAGAAAAAAAAGAGTGTGTAGTCCTACAAAATATAAATAAAATATGTAGCCCTACGTGTCTACATGCAGAAACAGGCAGTGTCTGGGACTCACGGCAGTAGTATGCTTTCTTTCTCAGAACCGATATGAGAATAATGGCAGCCCTTAGTCAATATGCCAACTGGGAGTGAGATTCAAAGAATCAGAACTATATCTGAACAACAAAGCCTATTGAAAAATCTTTTTCAATTATGGGAAATATTGGGGATGGGTCAGAAACTCTGACCTGTGCTGTTCTTATCCGGTCATACAGCCTGGCAGGCCAGGAAAAGGGGGAGGGGGGAACAAGTGAGCACCCCCTCTCCTGAACCATACAAGACCACATGCCCACAACATGGATGGAGTGCTTTGGGGCAGGGGGGCTCTGCCCCCCCACCCCAAAGCTCCCTATCCACATGTTGATGGGGACAAGGCCTCTTCCCCACAACCCTGGCCAGTGGTAGTGGGGGTCTGCAGGCAGGGGGCTTATCGGAGTCTGGAAGCCCCCTTTAACCCCCAGATCCCGGCTTCCCCCTATGTGAATGAGTATGGGGTATATTGTACCCCTACTCATTCACCAAAAAAGTGTCAAAAAGAAATAAAAACAGATTTTTTTTTTTACAATTCCATTATTAAAATACAAAAAGATAAAAACAATGTCCCCCGGAGTAGATCCAGCATCAAGCACAATGAAGACTGGAAAAACAAACCCCAGGTCTGCACCCATCGCTTGCTCCCACTGTCTGTCAGGTCTTAAAGCAGAGTTCCACCCAAAAGGGGAAATTCCGTTTTAAGCCTTTGTCCCCAGCTCCCCGTTAAGGATTGGTACCTTTGGGGAGTGGGTACCCAAATGTGACAGGTACCCGCTCCCACTTACACTGCGACTGCCTAAGGCGATTGGAAGCGGAAGCTGTCCTCCCCCCTTCTCTCCCCATAGTCTTCTGGGACATGTGACAGGTCCCAGAAAACTACAGGACCACTCACAAAGTGCAGCACTACTCACGCATGTGCAACGAGCACCCGGCTGTGAAGCCGCAAGCATGGTGAGGACACCGCTGGACCGAGGGACAGGTAAGTGTCTGTATTTTAAGTCAGCAGCTACAGTTTTTGAAGCTGCTGACTTTTATTTTATTTAACTGGATCTCCGCTTTAAATAGCTAAGGGGCAGGGGCACCCGATAACGTAACTGCATGACCCCGCCCCCTTGTGACATCATTGACCCAGCATGCATATATAATATATGCAATTTATACAGTTAATTTGTATCGCTTTAATTATTTTTCCCACTATGGGCGTGAATTGGGCCTCATGTCTAAGCTTTGCCCAAGACCTCACAAAGCCTAGAGCAGCCTCTGGTCTGACATCTATCACATGGACAGTAAGTGAGGAGAAATCACCCCAGTGGAGACAAAGATAAAATCTCCACAGAGGTTCTAAACGTTCCCTACTCTAAAAAGTTTGCTTCACTATCTGTGTCCAATTGTGATTTCTGTCCACCTGTTTTGTTTGATGTCAATCAAATAGACAGAATGTGAAAAAAATTTCCTATTCAGGGTCACAGACATCAATATAATGTTTACAGATGTTCTAACCCCAAAAAACAGAAAGTAGTAACAAAAGGAAGTAAGTTTGCTTTGTATTTAAAAAAAACAACTTCTTTCTCATGTGATAGAACTCAGAAGAGAGGAAGTGGTTATGTCTAATATACGTAGCTAGCTGATGTGTTTGCTAAATAAAAGGTTACAGGTTAAGAATAAGAGGATAAACTTTAAATATTAAATTTAGGCCAAAAACCTTACCTAAACTAAGTACGGTAAGCAGAACATTTACATTTTGCTTGAATATAGATTAACACTCCTGTTAATTAATAAAAGATTTCTAATGCCATTTTCCTTACATGATAATATTTCATTTAAATCATACTCTTTGATTTTCTTTCTAGAATTACAAAGATTCAGTGGACCAAGAAAATGTGTTCTTGTTGCACAGAAAAGCAAATATCAGTGTTAGCTGATTTATAGTACAGTATATTGAAAATTTCAATTTCGTCTCTGAAAGTTAAATCCAATCCATTAATTAATCGAAATTTCCAGTTTAAGCCCTAGTTCACAGTGATGCGGTGCGGAATTCGCAGCGTTTTCTGTGCGAATTCTGCACCGCATCAGAATTGGACTTGGTTCATGCAAACTGCTGCGGGTGTGTATGTAAAGTTAACAACACCCTGAGACCGGTCTGTAAAATGCGGTGCAATGTGCAGAATCGGATCACATAGGTTTGAATACCCATGCGATCTGATTCTAGTGCGGACCAAAAAAAGGGTCCTGAATGTTTTTGGTGCTGTACGAATAGAGCCATACAAAATGTATGGCTCCAATCGCACCGCACACAATTCACATGTGATTTGCACAGGAATGCGGTGCGGCTCCTGTGCGAATCACATGCAATATAACCCAGGCTCACTGTGGTGAAACCAATCCTTCTTTTTCTGAGAGCCAGTGTCCTGCATGGTCACGTAGTAGGTTCAAGAAAGACTGTAAACATCTTGAAATACACACTCCTTGGAGCTTCTTACTAACCCAATACCTTCTCTATATCTTTATTCATGCCTTTTGAACCTGTCAGAACAATAGACTATGTACCATCTCCTGCACATAACTATTTTTGAATTACATTTTTTTAAATGTCTGAAAGAGTTTAGTTTCAATGCTGAAAATATTTATGTATTTACTTGTCAATCACTTCAATATATCTTCTTTTTATTTTTATATTGCTTCAGAAACCGTGGTTTTGGGACCAAAGGGAATTCTGGACCGATTATCCCTATCAGGTGAGAGTTTTTAATGAGGATAGAGGTGACATGAAGGTCCTGTGCTCAAATTTGGCTTCTTTTAATCTTTTGTGCTCTCATCACTACCCGAAGTAGCATTCTGGCTCCCCACCAAGGCTCTTTTGCAATTGATTGAGTTTCAGAAGTGTTCTGGGTAGCAATGGAGAAACTTCAACTAGTGATAAATAGCCTGAAATGTATTGACTGTTACTGGTCTGTTTAACATGCCCCTACTCCCAAAGTATGTGAATACATTTCTTTAAACTTTTAGTGTTAACCAGGATGTTTCTTGTACCTAAAGTGATATTAAAGCTTGCTTTATTTTTATTTTTTTATAACAAACATGTTACACTTACCTACTCTGTGCAGTGGTTTTGCACAAAGCAGCCCAAGCCTCCTCTTTTCAGGTTCCACGTGGGCACTCTTGGCTCCTCCCCCTTGATCAGTGCCCCCAATAGCAAGCGCTTGCTATAGGGACACTAGTGCATGCTTGCTCCTGAGCCCCACTTCATGCATCCATAAGACACATAGAGCCAGCCATTCGCTCTCTCCCTATTGGTTCACTGGCTGTGACTGCTCAGCCAATGAGAAGAGAGAGATGAGACAGCCGAGGCTCCCATGCACATCACTGGATCGAGAGGCGGCTCAGATGAGTAGGGAAGGGGGGGGGAGCAGCCCACAGAAGGTTGCTTTTTAACTAAAAAATAGAATGAATAAAGGTAAAAAACCTGCAGCCTTTACAACCACTTCACAACTGGGCTATAGCCGATGACGGCTACAGCGCGGTTGTGCAGTTCTGGGAGGGTGTCATATGATGTCCTCTCAGAACGTGTCCTCACGTGCGCCCCCAGCAGTGCACACCAAGCGATCTCCGTGATCTCACATGATCTCACAGCTGATCATGTGATATGGTAAAAGGCCAATCACAGTGGCCTTTTACCACGTGATCAGCTGTGTCCAATGACACAGCAGATCACCGCGTAAATGCAGTTGCCGGTTGTCAGCTGCACTTTCCTCACACTGTCACAGCATGAAGAAAGTACTGCCGATAACAGGCAATTGTCAGAAAACAAATTGGCACTGATCATCAGGGCACTGATCATCAGTGCCACCCACTAGTGCCACCCACCTGTGCCTAGCAGTGCAACCCACCTGTGCCCAGCAGTGCCACCCACAAGTGCCAAGCAGTGCCACCTACCTGTGCCCATCAGTGCCTAGCAGTGTCACCCACCTGTGCCCAGCAGTGCCACCCATTAGTGCCCATCAGTGCCCCCCATCAGTGCTACCCATCAGTGCTGCTCGGCAGTGCCACCCATTAGTGCCCAGCAGTGCTGCCAGTCAGTGCTCAGCAGTGCCGCCAGTCAGTGCTATCAGTCAGTGCCACTCATCAGTGCAGCTTATCAGTGCTGCCTATCAGTGCCGCCTATCAGTGTCCATCATTGCTGCATATCAGTGCAGCATCATCAGTGCTACCTATCTGTGCCCATAAGTGCTGCCTATCCGTTCCCATCAGTGCCGCCTATCAGTGCAGCCTCATCAACGCACATCAGCGAAGGAGAAAAGTTACCTGTTTGCAACATTTTATAATAGAAACAAAGAAAACCTTTTTTTTTTTTTAATTCTTTGCTCTTTTTTGTTTATAGCGCTGTGACGGGGGGGTAGGCAGGACAGAACACACAAAGAAGATGGTAAACACACAAAGCTTTATTAAAGAACTGACAGTCACTCAATTGGGGAGTTAGAGTCTCTAGCAATTTGTAATCCAAGTAGTGAGCAGAGGGGGAACAGAGTTCAAGGACAGTCCAGGGGTAATAAACAGGGGTGCATACACTCACGGCTCTGGTAGGGATTCCCGGGTTCACAGCAGGCGACAGTCCAGGGGGCGACCCACCTCAGCACACAACAGAGGGTCCTAACAACAGGTACCAGTCCTGAGTACCAGCAGTGTACTCCGTGGGGAATAATCCTCCCAATCTTAGCATCAGTGTCAGCAGTAATAATAATCCTCCCAAGTGTTGGGTATTGCTGCAGAGTCAGTAGTGGGAATAATGCCCTCGAACTCCACCCCAGGGCAGCAGTATTAATAATAATTCCCCCCAGCTCAGGGGTGGCAATAATAGCCCTTTGGGGTCTTTTGCAGAGGGCTACAGGAGTCCTGCCTCAGCACAGACTTTCCTGGCAGCTGCACAGTGGTGAAGAAGAGCCAAGACTCTCCCCCCAGGCCTTCTTAAGGTCTGCATGGAGCGTCCTTGATTGCCCTAGCAACTGGGGGCGGCTTGCCTCTTTGCCCGGCAACGAGGCACGCCCCCTTGACACGGGCTGTGCCTCGGCCTTTGTCCTCTTAAATTATTGTACCTCCCTATTTTGGTAGTTTTTCGTACCATAATATTATACATTCACACTAAGGTAGATAGGCATTCCACTATTTTTTTTGCTTGCTCTCTATATTTGATACTGTGAGCAGCGTCTGATTCTACCTCTTGCGAGCAGCATTGCCCTGCAGTTAGCATTGCATGGTTTGCTTTTCTGTGTATAATACATTTTGAAAAGTTAGCCAATTGGAGCAGGCCTATTGATTTGAAAGAATCTGTCTTTGGCAAGAAAGCATTTGGAAGAACAGCCATTGTTCACTTTATGAAATGATCAGTAAGCACTTTGACATATCTATTGCCAAAGGCAATCTTTTGTACTTGCAGGTACAGTTGTGGCCAAAATTATTCAACCCCCAATGCTGTAAAGGGGTTTAGGGACTATAGTGTACATTTGGAATTGTATTCAGAATCAAATCCTACAAGGACGTTGTAACTACCCAAATGCAACTAAAATGACATCAATTGTTTATGTAATACAGTAGTAAATGGTTCTTATGTGGTTTCTTCATTGCCACAATTATTCAACCCCTTAAAGACTACCACTCTGAAGAACAGAGGTTCATACAGGTGCTTTCCATCAGGTATTGAAAACACCTGTGGATGTCACCGAGCAGCAATCAAGCATAATAAGCACCAATTAGGCAGCTTTAAAATGACTGTGATACTCAGCTCCTTCTAGACATTTACTGGTGTGGTTACAAACATGGTGAAGGCAAGAGAATGGTCAGGAAGACAAGAGAAGAGGTGATTTCTCTTCACAGGAAGGGCAATGGCTATAAGAAGATTGCAAAGATGTTAAACATACCAAGAGACACCTTAGGAAGCATCATTCGCAAATTCAAGGCAAAGGGCACTGTTGAAACGCTACCTGGTCGTGGCAGAAAGAAGATGCTGACTTCGACTGCTGTGCGCTACCTGAAGCGTAGAGTGGAGAGAAGTCCCCGTGTGACTGCTGAGGAACTGAGAAAAGATTTGTCAGATGTGGGTACAGAAGTTTCAGCCCAGACAATAAGACGCACACTGCGTAATGAAGGCCTCCGTGCCAGAACTCCCAGGCGTACCCCCTTGCTGTCTCCAAAGAATAAGAAGAGTCGACTGCAGTATGCCAAAAGCCATGTGGACAAACCACAAAAGTTGTGGGATAGTGTTCTGTGGACTGATGAAACAAAATTAGAACTGTTTGGGCCCATGGATCAACGCTATGTTTGGAGGAGGAAGAACAAGGCCTATGATGAAAAGAACACCTTGCCTACTGTGAAGCATGGTGGAGGGTCAATCATGCTTTGGGGCTGTTTTGCTTCTGCAGGTACAGGGAAGCTTCAGCGTGTGCAAGGTACCATGAATTCTCTTCAGTACCAGGAGATATTGGATGGAAACGTGATGCAGTCCGTCACACACCTGAGGCTTGGGAGACGTTGGACCTTTCAACAGGACAATGATCCCAAGCATACCTCCAAGTCCACTAGAGCATGGTTGCAGAGGAAAGGCTGGAACATTTTGGAGTGGCCATCGCAGTCACCAGACTTAAATCCGATTGAGAACCTCTGGTGGGACTTAAAGAAAGCAGTTGCAGTGCGCAAGCCTAAGAATGTGACTGAACTGGAGGCCTTTGCCCATGAAGAATGGGCGAAGATACCCGTAGATCGCTGCAAGACACTTGTGTCAAGCTATGCTTCACGTTTAAAAGCTGTTATAACTGTAAAAGGATGCTGTACTAAGTACTAAGATTGAATGTCACTTGGGGGGTTGAATAAAACTGATAATGCTGTGAGCACAGAAAAGACATTTGTGGTTATTTCATTATAACTGTTATGTTATATTTGTCTGACCTACAAGTGCCTCTTTAATGTAAATGTAAGCAAGATGACTGAATGATCAAAAGCAATGTCAAACTGGCCAAAACACTCAATTTCAGTGGGGGTTGAATAATTTTGGCCACAACTGTAGTTCATCATCGACAGCTCCCATGGAAACTTAGAATGTAGGGTAAGTACAGAGCTTTATCCTTCCTGCTATGAGTCACATTACAAATCCAAAATAGACCACACTTCTTCTACCGCAGCAGTATTAACATGCGTACATTTTGGTTTCCATAGCGCTGCAATCTTCCTTTCTCTCATACACCTTTATGTTTGCTTGGAATGCAGAATCTGGCAGCCTCACCTTCCATACAGTCAATATCTAATGGGACAAATGAACCTTTCTACATAATGCTGCGCCCAGGACCTGCAATCTATATAATCATACATCAACATTTTAATAGGCAAGCTGTCTCCAAGGCTTTGCTTTCTGCAAACATTTTACTGGCTGTTGTCCTGGCCTGCTCCTGAGGCAATTTCCAGTTCTTTCTTCTGTGCTCTTCAATACTACTATCCTGCTTTAGAACATCAGAAATGTGGCTGTCAGCCTGTACATGAGCTATTGCGGAAAAGTTGGCTGCTTCAGAAGCTTTTCAGTCATCTCCATCTTCCCCTATTAGTGATTAGTGATAGGGGACATCTAGTCAATACATCCATATTGTTGTTAGTTGACCCACATTGAGTGATACCTCACATGGAAGTTATACTTTACCAATCTAGCCAACCTATATTATTTTAGAGCTACAAGCATGCCAACAAGACAGACAA